TTGACCTTTGTGTCTGTTTATATTCCAGTATCATGCTGTTTTGATTAGGATAGCCTTGTAATATACATAATTTGATACCAAGTAGCATAATACCTCCAACTTCGTTGTTCTTTCTCAAGATTTATTTGGCTCTCCAGGGTTTTTTGTGGTTCCTTACACATTTTAGGGTTATTTGTTTAGTTCTGTGTAAAATGCCATTAGTATTTTGATAGGGGTTGCATTGAATCTGTAGATTGCTCTGCATAGTATGGACATTTTAATACCAATCTTCCTATCCATGAGCAAGGTGTATCCTTTCATTTATTTGTGTATTCTTCAGTTTCTTTCTTCAGCGTCTTACAGTTTTCAGAAATAATTCCTTTATCTTTTTTATTAAATTTATTCCTAGGTATTTTTTTATTCAATTGTAAAAGGCATTTTTTTCTTTTGAATAGTTCATTATTGGTGTATAAAAATGCAACCCATTTCTGAATGTTAATTTTGTATCCTGTTACTTTACTGAATTCATTTATTAGTTCTAATAGGTTTTTTTGGTAGAATCTTTAGGATTTTCTTTATATAGTATTATGCCATTTGCAGCATTCCTAGGTATTTTTTTATTCAATTGTAAAAGGCATTTTTTTCTTTTGAATAGTTCATTATTGGTGTATAAAAATGCAACCCATTTCTGAATGTTAATTTTGTATCCTGTTACTTTACTGAATTCATTTATTAGTTCTAATAGGTTTTTTGGGTAGAATCTTTAGGGTTTTCTTTATATAGTATTATGCCATTTGCAGCTATTTGGATGCTTTTTATTTCTTTTTCTTGTCTGATTACTGAGGCTAGGACTTTTTATATTATGTTGAATAAAACTGGTGGAAGTGGACAACCTTGTTTTGTTCCTGATTTTAAAGAAAAAGCTTTCAGTTTTATGCTATTGAGTATGATGTTAGTTGTGGGTTTGTCATATATGACCCTTATTATGTTGAGGTATGTTCCCACTATCCCTACTTTGCTGGGAATTTATATTAAAAATGGATGTTGGACTTTGTCAAATGCTTTTTTTTGCACCTATTGATATTATCATGTGATTTTTCTCCTTCAGTTTGTTTATGTGGTGTATCACATTAATTGATTTGCAGATAACGAACCAGCCTTGTATCCTGGGAATAAATTCCACTTGACCAGGATGTATGATCTTTTTAATGTACTGCTGAATTTGGTTTGCTAATATTTTGTTGAGGATTTTTGCATCTATGTTCATCAGGGATATTGGCCAAAATTTTTCTTTCTTTGTATTGTCTTTTTCTGGTACTGGTATCAGTAATGCTGGCCTCATAAAGTGAATTTTGGAGCCTTCCCTCCTCTTCAATTTTTTTTAGAGTTATTTGAAAAGGATAGAGATTAATTCTTTGAATGTTTGGTAAAATTTACCGGTGAAACCATCTGGTCCAGGACTTTTGTTTGTCGGGAGTTTTTCTTTAAATGACAGATTCTATTTCATTAGAAGTTGGTCTGTTTGGATTTTATGTTTCTTCATCGTTCTGTTTTGGAAGAGTGTATGTTCCTAGGAATTTATTCATTTCTTCTAGGTTGTCTAATTTGTTGGCATATGATTGTAGTATTTTCTTTCAATTCTTAGTATTTCTATGGTTCAGTTGTCACTTCTCTCTCATTTCTGAATTTATTTATTTGGGCCCTCTTTTTTTCTTTATGAGTCTGGCTAAAGGTTTATCAATTTTGGTTATCTTTTCAAAGAGCCAGCTCTTAGTTTCATTGATCTTTTTTTAATTGTAATTTTAGTCTATATTTTGTTTATTTCCATTCTGATCTCTTCTTTAATCAATTTTGGTTATCTTTTCAAAGAGCCAGCTCTTAGTATCATTGATCTTTTTTTTATTGTAATTTTAGTCTCTATTTTGTTTATTTCCATTCTGATCTCTTTTTTAAAAATATTTTTTTATTTATTTCAGAGAGGAATGGAGGAGAGATAGAAACACCAATGATGAGAGAGAATCATTGATCAACTGCCTCTTGTATACCCCCTACTGGGGATCGAGCCTGCTGCAAGGGCATTTGCCCTTGACCGGAATCGAACCTGGGACCCTTCAGTCCACAGGCCGACGCTCTATCCACTGAGCCAAACTGGCTAGGGTTCCATTCTGATCTTTATTATTTCCTTCCTTCTACTCTGGGCTTTGCTTGTTTCCCCCCCTAATTCCTTTAGGTGTAAGGTTATATTGTGTATTTGAGATTTTTCTTAATTCTTGAGGTAGGCCTTTATTGCTATGAACTTCCCTCTTATGACTGTTTTAGCTGTGACCCATATATTTTGGGTCATTGTATTTTCTTTTAGCCCAAAGTATCTTTTTAACCCTTGATTTCATTGTTAACCCATTCATTGTTTAATATGTTATTTAGCCTCCACAAATTTGTGTGTTTTTCAATTTTCTTCTTGTAATTGATTTTCAGTTTCATACCATTGGGGTCAGAGAAGGTACTTTCTATGATTTTAACCTTAAATTTATTGAGACTTGTTTTGTGGCCTGACATGTGGTCTATCCTGAAAAATGTTCTCACATTTTCTTATGTGCACTTGAAAAAAATGTGTACTCTGCTGCTTCTGGATGAAATGTTAAAAAAAATACTAAGTCCATCTGGCCTAATTGTCATTTAAGGCCATTGTTTCCTTACTGATTTTACTTTCAGTCTGAATGTGTCTTTTGATTTGAAGTGAGTTTCTTGTAAGCAACATATAGATGGGGCATGGTTTTTTAATCGGTTCAGCATCTTATGTCTTTTTATTGGAGCATTTAGTTCATTTACATCTAAAGTAGTTGATATGTATGTACTTATTGCCACTTTGTTAATGGTTGTTTTATTTTTTGTTGTTTTTATAGTCCTTTATTCTTTCTTTTTGTTTGATGCCTTCCTGTAGTTTGCTGGGGTTTTTTTCTTTTTATTTTTTTTAGTATTTTGTTTGGATTCCTTACTGTTATTACTTTTTAATATAGGATTTTGGTTTGTTACTACCATGAGGTTTATGTATATCATTCTATATCAGTGATGGCGAACCTTTTGAGCTCGGCGTGTCAGCATTTTGAAAAACCCTAACTTAACTCTGGTGCTGTGTCACATATAGAAATTTTTTGATATTTGCAACCATAGTAAAACAAAGACATATTTTTGATATTTATTTTATATATTTAAATGCCATTTAACAAAGAAAAATCAACCAAAAAAATGAGTTCACGTGTCACCTCTGACACGCGTGTCATAGGGTCGCCATCACTGTTCTATATCAATAGCAACCTATTTTAAGGCATTTAAATTTAAGTATATTTTTAAGGACTACATTTTTTTACAATCCCCTCCATGGTTGTTGTGTGTTTTGTGTGTGTGTGTGTGTGTGTGTGTGTGCGCGTGCTTAGAGAGGGAGAGAGCTGTGTGTGTGTGTATGTGTGTGTGTGTGTGCGCGTGTGCGCGCGCTTAGAGAGGGAGAGAGAGGGAGAAATAGAAACATCAATGGTGAGAGAATCATTGACTGGCTGCCTCCTGCATGCCCCACACTGGGGATTGAGCCCGCAACCCAGGCATGTGGTGTGACCGGGAATGGAACTGGAACCTCCTGGTTCATAAGTCGACAGGCTGGTAGGAGCCAAGCAAGTGCCTGAGATACATGGGGCACTGGCCTCCCAGCCCTGAGCAGCTGCAAGTGGGAGGCAAGTGTGTCGTAATGTCCTGGGGGTTGTGCTTGCTGCCTTTGTTTGGAACCACAATGGGCTCAGGTGATGTGTTGTGAACGCACTGCAGCAGCCTTGCAGGTAGGCCCGATTACCTGCCTAGATTACCTGTGCTGTGGGGGTCGAGGGGGATGTAGATAGTCTCACTTGGCCCTCTAGCCCCAGAGATTCCCGAGGTTCCTGGAGAACTCCTGTGGCTTCCCAGCCTTCTGTTAGGTCTCTTTCTCATATTTAGTTCATTCAGTCCTCAGTTGTTTGGAGTGATTGCTCTCTATACATGTGTATACTTGGTTGAGTTCAGCGTCTTCCTGTGCCACTGCCATCTTGGACCTCTAGATTGAGGCACCTTTATATCTATCCTTAGGAAGGAGGACCCTGGAGGAAGTAGAGGGAAGGCTCAACCTTGAGGAGGTCTCACCCACTGAGGTCCAAGGGAGGAAGGATGGAGTGGATCTACAGGGGGTGGCAGGGAAGGCCTCTTCGAAGGGCAGGCAGTCAGGTTGTCTTCTGCAGACAAGGGAGGACATCAGGAAGTTGGGGTTTTCAGAAACTCCTCAGGTCAAGGCATAGGAGGCAGGGTTGACCACGGGCTGTGGGCTCAACTGAGGGTGAAGGCAGGCCAGCCATCTGCCCAAGTAGAGGCTGGCTTCCGTCCTTCCTCCATTGTTTGGGGTGAGAGGAGGAGGTTGGACTGTCTGCATTGGGCGGGGGGTGGGGGGGGGGGGGGGGGTATGGTGCAGGGCTCTGGTGAGAGTGGGACTCTGGCTCTTCCACAGAGAACTCCTAGCCTGCTCTACCCCCTCCTGGGAACTCCGGGATGTCTCAAGTTGCCCAAGTCTGGCCAGGAGCCTGGGACATCCTGGCCAGGGGCACTGCCTGGACAGGGAGGAGCAGGCATGAAAGGTCAAGGCCACTTTCCTGTTGGGCCTGCCAGAGGCTGGAGAGCAGGCTATTGGGCATTTTGGGTATGACAGTGAACCCCACTCCTGACCCAGATGTTCCAGGTTTCACTTGTACTCCCTTGTGCCCAAGGAGGGGCAGGAGCTGACCTCTGCTCCAGGAAGGGAAGCACTTGGCAGATGCTCAGTGGGGGAAAGAAGGGGTGAACCCTTCACAGGTCCTGAGAGGCTGTCTTAGAAGTTAATGTGGGGGGCCCAGCCTGGGTTCCAACGTTTGGGAGGGGTTTCTCTTCCTTTCCTCCAGGAAGGTGGCAGAATTACTCCGACCCCAAGAATTCTACCCAGAAGACCCCTGTTTGGAGAAGAGACACATCCCTTGGTTCCAGAAAGCACCATGTTTATTTAATGCAGGCTGGTGCTAGAGTTCAGCTTCTCCCTTTTCCCCTTAGGACACACCCAAGATCACACAAACTCTTAGGACAAAGATGGGAGTTACAGACCTGCCTCGAGGCCACTGCTGACTCCTTCACGGAGGGCAGAGGTCCAAGGACTGAATGACAGAAAGGGACATCTGTGGACTGTACTGGGCTTTCAACCCAGGCACCCCATGTGCCAGGAATGGGGTGGGCTGGCTTTGGTCAGGTCCAAATCCTTGAGAAGTCCAAACCAACCTTCTGCCATGGTAGAGAGGCATCTGCTGGCTGAAGGTCTGTCTCTCCACAGGTCAGGGAGCTCAGAACACCTCCATGGGGCTGTGAGGGGACCTCCTAGGCCCTTTGCCCACCCTGACATCAGACCCAGGAGCCCTCCCCATCTTCCGTGCTGTTCCTGGCTGGTTACAGAAGGCATGGGTGGGATTCTCGTGCCACTTGTTCTGTGTGGCCTTGGACAGTCACTTTATCTCTCCAAGATCGGCCCCCAGCCCTGGGCTGTTAAGGAACCTGCCAGCCTGCCCCTCTCCCACTCGTTTCTGAGAATGGCTCCTCCTCATGTCATGGGGCCAAGACGGAATCCCAAACTCGGCAAGCTCGGTCCCCATCCTTCCAGTGACAGTTCAGAAATGATGTGTCAACATGGCAGCTTTAACCACTTGGCCAAGTCCCTCCAGCTCCTTCCTCTATAGGCCTCCTTGGCCACACGCCCGCCCCCTGACCACACCCAGAGAACGCTCTTCCCAGGGGGCCCTGCCCTGTGGTCACTGTGCCAGCCTCGCTCTCCTGAGCCTGCAGGTCACTCTGCCCTGGAGGCTGTTGGACACTTGGGCAGGGACCGAGCAGCCCGGAGCCTGCTCTTCTGGCCACTTCCAGCTGCTCCCAAGGACGTGGTTTGGGCCCCCTCCTGGGGCAGGGCCAGTGGCGGTGGGGCTGGTCGGAGGAGAATCCCCACCATGACTGCAGGCTTTCCTCCTGAGGCGAGCCTCCTTGTGCTGTGAGACTGAGGTGAAGAGCAGAGCTGCTGGGGGCAGAGGCCCGGCCCCAGGTCCTTGAGCAGGAGAAACAGAGAAGTCGGCTGCTTCACAGCCCAGACAGGAGGGTGGTCCCACACGAGCATCCACATCCTCCATTGCACAGGGGATAGGGCACGGCCCAGTGGCCCATCAAAGCGTCCAGGATTCCAGGGAGGGTTTCAGGGGAGGACCAGGCCCCACACTTCCCAGAGGAAGGATCCCCAGGCCTGCAGGGGCATCTGGGAGGCTGGAGTCCTGGCCCAGCTGGGCCTGAGCGGGGAGAGGAGCCCCTACCCCCTAAGAGAGGTCATGGCGGACAAGGGGCTGGAGCCAACGAGGAGGCCATGGCGCCAGCTCCCAGAGCACTCCCAGGCCAGACAAGCTTCTGCCTGCTCTTCTGGGTTCCCGGGTCTCTCCATTAGGCTCAGCCTGGGAAGACAGGGCTTCAGCTAACGCCCACTCCGGTCTGCGAGGGTCTTGGTGTGGCCGCCAGCCCCTCGGGGGTCCACTGGGGTGCTGGCGCTGTTGGCATATGTGTCATAGCTGTTGTCTGAACATACAGAGAGCTCATCGGAGACCTCCATGCCATCGCTGATCTCTGTTGGGCCAGAGGAGGCAGAATATGAGTGGGGGCAAGAGAGGTCAGTGAGAATGGCGGGAAGATGTTGTGGGAGGGTGGCCTGCAGCGACTCCTGCTCAGGCTCTTGGATGCTGATGAGACCACTGGCTTCAGGTTGGGTGTTGAGATTGGTATTCAAGGCCCCCTGGGTGTCTCCTCTCCCCCGGAACTCTTCCTTCTACAGAAAACCACCCGCATCCAAACCATCCGCTCGACACCCATGTGTTTACTCTCCCCAGGGCCTTTGCACAAACTGGCCCCTCTCCTGGGAGTGACTGCCCCATCAACACCTTCTTTAAAAATCTGGCCCATTCCTCTCATCTGTGTTACTGCAGCCTCCTCACAGCCTCCCTGACCCCCCTCTTCTGGCAGGGATGGGACCTTCTCATGCCCCCCCATCACATCCTGTACTGCCCCTGCCTATGGCCCCCACCAGCTGGAGCACTACAAGGATAGGGGTGATGTCTGGGCCTCTGTGTCCCCAGTGCCTGGCACAGAGCTGGACACAGCAGAGGCCCAGGGGAAGGTCTGCTGAGCGGAGCTGAGACCTCCCTGAGGGGACTCAGGGTTCCTTGGTGGAGTTGAGGGTCTCTGGAGACAACCTCTCAGCCTGGAGTGAGGACTGTGGTCGACTCCCCTCAGAGCCTGCCTCAGAGGTGCTCAGTGAATGGTCTTTGGCACTATAGGAGGGGAGGGGGAGGGGGTCTGGGCAGAACCTGCCAGGCCTCCGGATAGGGGCTGGCCTCCTGCCTTCCATTCATGCTCCTCAGCCCCCTGACTTGAGGCCGGGCACAGTGCGGGGGCCTGGGGATCCCAGGTGCCCTGGACTGGCCCCTTCCTCCAGGAGGGGGCTCTCCAGTGTGGCCAGAGGGCTGTGGGACTCGGGGGGGGGGCACTCCAACCCGTCTCGGTGCTCAGGGAAGGCTCCCAGGAGGGTTTTTTTTGAGCAAAGGTAAGCAAGAACGTGTGCATCCTAAGCACCTGAAACAGTGTCTGACATTCATCTGTTCGAGAAATGAATCGTAAAGGAGTGAATAGTGAGATGGTCACACGATCCTTGGAGCCAGCCCCACCAAAACCACAGTCACCCCCACTGGGCTCTCGCTCGTCCATGCATGTTTACCAAGGACCCTCTGGGCCGGCGTGGCCGCAACCCTCACACGTATCCTTTGGGGTTACCAGCCCACTTACAGACAAGGAGTCTGATGCTGAGGGAGGTTAGACAGTGTGCTCCAGTCCACACGGCTAGTTGGGGATAGAGCTGGGATTTGACTCCAGATCCACCTGGCTCCTAAGTGCTCTATAAATCTCTGCTTTTCTCTCTGTTCCCACATTCACATCTCTCTCCTGAATTACCAAGATGCATGCTGGGAGGACGCCATGCAGACAGGAAGATGACCATCTACAGGCCGAGGGGAGAGGGCTGGACCAGACCCTTCCCTCGCAGTCCTGCCGACACCTGGATTGTGGACTCCTAGCCCCCAGAATTGTGAGACAATAAACTTCTGTTGTTTGAGCCTCCCACTTCGTGGTACTTTGTTACAGCTCTACTGCAACAATGGCCAAATACAAACCTTCCCACAACCCTCCTTTGCTTCCAGAATGAGGCCCAAGCTCCTGACCAGGCCACCAGGCACCACCTTGGGGTGAGCCAGCCGCGGCCCCGCCACGCCCGCCGTATGGAACGGTGTTGGGTTGCCAGTGCCCTGAAGCAGTGCTCCCTCACTTCCTCTGAACACGCCGCTCCTGCCTGGACTGGCCTTGCTGCCCCTGCTCGCTCCGCCCTCAGTGCAGACCCCTCTCCCAGGCCCCTCCTAGCCATCCTTCCGCTTCAGCTAGGTCACTTCCTTGCAAAGTGGGTTCCAAAACCGCCCCTACCGCCCCAGGGAGCTCTGACTACTCTGCTCTGTACCCCACTTGGGCTCAGCGCCCTCATCTGTCAGAGCTCTAGTGGCACCCAGTTTCCCGTGTTCTTATATAGCTGCCTCCTCCTCCATCAGACTGGGAGTGCCGGCCAGCAACAGCAGGGATGAAGTCAATATTTGGGGTCCCTGTATGAACCGGGCAAAGGGGGATAGGTCTTCAAAGCAGACTCTTCCCCTCCACCCCACTCCTGCACATCACCCTTGCCCACCACCCATGACGCTGACATGGCTGTATGTGGAGGGCGTGTGTGTCTATATGTGTGTGCCTCTGTACGTGTGTGGGCATCTATATGTCCATGCCGTGTGCCTGTCTGTCTGTGCTGTGTGCATGTGTAGGGTAGAGAACTGGGCCCAGGGCCTGTCTCAGGGCTGCCTACCTGAGAAGATGAGCTTCTCCTTCATGATGCTGACGTCCCGGCTGGTCCGGTGCACGGCCGCATTCAGCATGATCTGCTCGGGGTTGTAGCTCCGGATGCCACCCAGGCGCCACCTGCAGAGACGACCCCGCGGATCAGCCCTCCCCACCCATCCCTGACGCAGGGTCCTGCCCTCTCCCAGAGCCTCTCTGGATCGGGCCTGAGAGACCAGCAGGACTCCTGTCTGACTATCCAGGTGGGGCCCAGCGAGGGCAGAGCTGGAGCTGGAATCAGTCTCCTGACTCTCAGCCAGACCTCTCCTGCCTTCCTCTTACTCCAGACCCAGCTCAGCTCCCTGGGCCCAGGACATTTTGGGTGGGTTAGTTGGTTAGCTCTGTCTCAGGTGCCTCCAGTTATTCACCTGGTTTCTTTGGACGTGATACATGTGGGGTGGGGGAGGGCTTACCAGACATGACTCTGATGACCTACTCTTGGGGAGTCCCAGCTGATGTCTCCTACAGCTCCACTGTTATGACTAGGCTGAGGGAAGCCAGAGGGAACCCCCAGGGAGGAAAGCAGAGAGGAGGGGAGATGCAGGGGGCTTTGCTCAGAACTGGTCTTCACAGGCTCGTAGCCAAGGACTTCGAGCGACTTGGCTTGGGTCTGTGCTGCTCTCTCTTCCAACAGCCCTGCAAGAGGGGGGCATATACTCCCCAATGGGGAGCCCCAGCTGGAGTGCCAGTCCCTCTGATGGCCGCGGCCGGGCTGCACAGGCATGAGGGGCCACGCGCAGCCAGGCACTGCTTTTCCTGTTGTCGTCCTCAACTAGCCCCAAGCCCCTGGCCTCTGACCTTGAGACTTTGCAACCTGGACAGAAGGATTCACTGGGCCCCCACTTCCACTCCCACCAAGAGAAGCGGGGGTCAGCTTGGAAACAACCCAACCCCCAGGGCACGGAGCCCTGCTGGGGTGGATGGAGGGAGCCCAGACGCCACAAGAAATCAGTTGTTTCCAGATGGGGTCAGCACAGCTGAAATGGACAGACAGATGGACAGGCAGATGGGTGGGTGGACAGAGCGGACAGACGAGGGCAAAGCAGGAAGCAGAGGGGAAGGCAGCCTGCGCTCTGGCTGGGCGAGCACCCTTCGTGTCCTCTGTGTCCTGAGGACAGCAAGTGGGTCTTATTTATCGCTGTGTCCCTGGCACCAACCTCAATGCCTGCTGTGTGTGTGTGTGTGTGTGTGTGTGTGTGGCCGGGGCCCTAAGTACTTGGGTGAATGGAAGAACGAGGAAATGATCTTCTGCACCAGGGCCCCCTTCTCCGTCAGGCCTCTCTTGACCCCCAGGAAGAGAGTGACACCACCCTGGCTGTATGTTGCGCAGGGCCAGCCTCCCAGGCACGCCGACCCCACTGCAGGCCCAGCAGCGCCAGCCAGCACCTCTGTAGGTCTGCTGCCAGCGAGGGTGGAGGAAGGCCTGGGTGATGTACCTGGGCTGGCTCAGCCCCCCAGCCAGGGAGCAGTTTCTCCTAGATCAGTGATGGCGAACCTTTTGAGCTCGGCGTGTCAGCATTTTGAAAAACCCTTAACTCTGGTGCCGTGTCACATATAGAAATTTTTTGATATTTGCAACCATAGTAAAACAAAGACATATTTTTGATATTTATTTTACATATTTAAATGCCATTTAACAAAGAAAAATCAACAACAAAAAATGAGTTCGCGTGTCATAGGTTCGCCATCACTGTCCTAGAAGCTGCTCAGTGAAGCCCTCTGACCCAGGAGGGCTCAAGGTGCTTGACCAAGGACTTGGGTCTCCGAGACCGAAGTCTCATCTTGGAAATTAACATTAACCCCGAAGGAGAGCGTCCGGCCAGGGTTTCTGCGGCCATGCACACCTGAGACAGGAAGCTCGCCCACTGTGGGCCTCTCCAGGGGAAAGTGGGAGCATGTGTATGGGGGAGGGAGGGTCAGACAGAAAGTGAAAAAGAGATGAGAGACACAGAGGAAGGTAAAGAGGGAATGAGTAATGGGAGAGGCAAACCCAGGGAGCGGAAAGGCGACAGCTGGGAAGGGAGAGACAGAACTTGGGGGGGCGTGCGCTGGGCAGCGGGCAGGCCCTGCAGGGACACCGAGGGGGCAGCAGGCAGAGCCCTCTCTGCAGAGGAAGATGCGCTGGTGCTGCGAGGCCAGGTCAGCAACCGATAAGAAACACCGGCTCCCGGTGTGCAGAAGCAGCAGGAGGGAGAGAGCAGAGGGGCACACACGGCCAGGTGGGAAGAGCAGGGAGGATGGCAGGGAGAGGAGGATTCCGGGGAGGGAAGGAGGCTTCGGGGGAGGGAGCCGACCCAGGCACAGGGCTCGGGCAGGTTCCAAAGGAACTGGAGAGAGGGGCGGCGAGGAGGGAGAAAGGGCCAGGAGGAGGAAGACCACACCAGAATTACCTGATCAAGTGATAGCTGTGAGAGGCCAGAGTGCAGCAGAGAGGGGAGGGTGGGGAGAGAGGAGGGACATGCGCCGGGTCAGAGCGGAATGGGACAGAGAGAGAACGTCAGTCAGGAATAAGCCCTTCCCGTTGGTTCATGGCTGGGCTGGGACCCCAGCCGGGCCCTCCACCCTCCCCGGGGCCACCCCCACATCCCCACTGCACCCACTGCCCAGCTGTTGTCTGAGGGTGGGAGGTTCCAGCATGGCACAGAGGGGTGCTGAGTGCTGGGGGAACCACGGCCATGTTCAACAGGTGAGGAGACGGGCCCGAGAGGAGCGGAAACTCGAGTCCACGCAGCAAATCCGGGCAGAGGTTGGCTCTGGGCTCCCAGCTGGGTGCTCATTCCAGAAGCTACCAGCTCTGGCGGAGGGGGGTGGGCTGGGGGCCACTGGGAGCCTTCTCCCCGCGTGGGCCATGTGGTCAGGCCTTCTCCCGGCCCAGAGCTCGGGAGGAGGGGCAGCTGGCTGGGTGGGAGCCGGGTCTGCCTTGGGGCAGGGACGGCCGAGGAGGTGGTCAGAGCCTACTCACTTCTGGAGCACGAAGATGCCCACGATGAGGGTGAAGGAGATCAGGTCCGCGGTGACCCACATGAGGCAGTACTCGTCCGGGGGCTGTGGACAGACGGCCCGTGGCCAGCCTCCAGTCACAGCCAGTCCACGTCAGGCTCCAGACGGAGGGTCCACGGGCAGGGAGGACCCGGAGGCCTGAGCTCTGGGCATTGTGGGTCGGGGAGGGGAGGGGGTGTGTGTGTGCACAGGATAAAATGCCGTGTGGTGTTCGGAGTAAAGACGGTTAGTGTTCAGCCTGGAGGGTTTGCGTGCTTAAGGAGGCTCAAAGCAAGAGGCCAATAATGAAGGCAGATGAGTGTGAGGGTCACCCTGACTGGCAGGTGTGCCATGGGTGGCATCCGTGTGGGTGTAAGTGCACGTGTCACTGTAGGGTGTGGACTGCGGGGCTTCCCCCAGGGACAGTGGGGAGGGACCAGGAGGGCAAACCTCCTGACCTCAGTGGACTGAAGAGGAGGGGCGTTGGTCAACTCCTGTGACCCCAAAATGCGAGTGTGCTCACCCCCACTGCTGCCACAGTGTTACTTCATCTCCTCCGGGCTGAGCCTCGGAGATCTTGAAGGACAGAGGGCAGGTGGATGGACTTAACCACCCGTGACCTTGATCTGATCCCTGACCTTGGCTCGGTCTCAGCCGTGACAAGACCCTCCACCTGCCGTTCACCTCCTCAGAGAGGTAGTGGGAGCACGGGTGTGTGTGTGTGGGGGGGGGGGAGGTCAAGGGCTCCTGCCCCCAGTGGCAGAGCTGGGCCTGGAATTCAGGCCTGTCTGCAGGTGCTCGGTCAACCAACTGAAAACTGGTTTGATCCGCTGTGATCTCTGAGTAGATTTTACTGTGCCCTATTCTTATCCTGTTGCCCTCTTTTCACAATGCCTTCCCTTCCTTAAAATAAAACATAACAACACCGCAACCAAAAACCCAAGTCGTTGTTCACCAGTTCTCTAGGGCCCGTCAGTGATGCTTCTGCCCGTGGGTCCGGCCCGGTCCCTCCCCCTTCTCAGCACCTTAGTGCCCACGCAGCGGCCACGAACATCCTCCTCGTGCCTCAAGCCTGTACCCCCCAGGGGCTCCCCCCAACCTGAGCACCAGAGACCCCAGGTGGAGTCTGCACCCTCCTGGGTGTCATTGGAAGCTCTCAACTCCCCCCAGGTGCCCTCTGCCCCCAGCAGTCCCCCAACTCACCATGATCCAGAGCGGGAAAGGCACCTGGGACAGAGTGTGGGAGTTGTCGGAGGTGACGGAGGGGACCCCCATGCACCACAGCAGGGAGAAGAGCCACGGCGTGTTGACCGTGTAGAGGTTCACACTCAGGTTCCAGGATGCATAGTCCCTGTGGGGTAAGGCACAGACTGGTCCGCCTGTGGGTCTGGGTCTGGGAGCCTGTGAGGCGTGATGCCATCCTCACCTGTCCCGAGAGAGGACTCTTCCTCCCAGAGGGCCCAGCTCAGAGCCAAACCCAGGTCTGCCTGATGCTCTTGACGTCTCCTCCTTGAGCCAGAAGTCCCTGTGCTTAACCATCTGCCCAGATGTGTGTGTATGTGTGTGTGTGTGTGTGTGTGTGTGCGCGCGCGTGCATTTGAGAGGGAGAGGAAGAGACAGGCAGACAGTATGGAGGAACTCAGTCTTGCCCTCTGGCTGAGCTGGGGCGGGTGGGGTGGGCACCTGAGCTCCGGGCGGGACACCTGAGTGTAGCGCAGGTTCAGCCACTGGATGTGGCCTCTATGGAGGCTGGTAGCTTCCTCCTTGGAGCCTGACGTCTGCTGGAAGCCAGGAGCCACCTTCCGTACAAAGGGCCTTTGCCTGTTAGGCAGCCACATGACCTGCAGGCAGAGAGGGGGCGGCCTCAGAGCTCTCATCTGTAAATGGCTTGAGCCTACCCCTCCGAAAGCACCTAGAAGGGTGAAAAGAGACAGGACAGGCAGGCCCGACACGTGGAAAAGCTTACATGTAATTACCGTAATCAGGGGATGACTTGGTCCCAGCCAAGGCTGGGAATTGCTTTGGCAATAACCCAGGGAGCTTGCCCTCTAGCCCAGTGATGACGAACCTTTTGAGCTCGGCGTGTCAGCATTTTGAAAAACCCTAACTGAACTCTGGTGCCGTGTCACATATAGAAATTTTTTGATATTTGCAACCGTAGTAAAACAAAGACTTATGTTTTTGATATTTATTTTATATATTTAAATGCCATTTAACAAAGAAAAATCAACCAAAAAAATGAGTTCGCGTGTCACCTCTGACACGCGTGTCATAGGTTCGCCGTCACTGCTCTAGCCCCCGGTCACAATGACTGATAACGAAATGTCAGTTACTCTGCACGCGGCCACCAGCATCTAGTGTGCGTCATATGTTGGTGTGAGATTCCTCAGATCTCCAGATATTACCCCACGAGGATGTGGGCACTGCTTCCTGGCAGTAAAAGGGACTTCCTTGTTACCCTCTTGTCCCACAATGACCCTGTCAGGGAGGCGAGGGGCATGGTACCCCATCTTACAAGTGTGTAAGCTGAGGTCTGCAGAGGGGACCTGTGAGTTAATGCTGAGTCCCGGAGGCTGGCTGGGCGCCAGGCCTCACCTGGTGCTGGGGGAAGCCGGAGCGCAGCAAGGCCTCCAGGGTGATGTTGAGGAAGCTGGCTCGGTAGGGATGGTCCCGCGGAGGGTCGTGCAGGTTGAGCAGCAGCGTGGCATTGCCCTTGGCCAATGCCAGGAGCTCAGCGAGGCTGCAGATGGACTGGTTCTGGGCCTCCCTGTGGTCGGAGGGGGACAAGGAGCTGGCCGTCCAGAAGGGATCCGTCTGCAGAGACAAGGACACACATGGCTGCCTCACCAGCACCTGAGGGGCCCCCACATGCCTTCCTGGCTCCTGAGCACCAAGACCCCTGAGCTGCCAGCATGTGTGTCAGGTGGGTTGATGGCTGTGACCCTGGGCGGGG